ATAATTTCAGAGGTGTTACCCAGCTCCTCTCCTTGTCTAGGACCCTGAAGCCCTGAGGAGTCCCCCTAAACATATGACCCTGTCCTTACAAGTCCAGAGCCATTCTCCACCATATGTGGTAAGGTGCATCCTCCCTTAGCTGTTTCACGAGCCTCCCTGATCCCTGCCATGCCCCACACAAATAATCACTTTTATAAATAATGTACTATTGGAAATTGCATTGTTGCCACAATTGACTGTCAAAAGTATGTTCTCATGTTGAGTTTTCCTTTTCAATTTTATTCATCATATGAACTTAAGCCAGATTTTGTAATCCCCTCACACACACCCACCCACACGTGCACGCACACACACACACACACACACACACACACACACACACCCCGTTTCTACTCTGCTTCTGCCTGCACTCTTCCCATCAGAAAGGGAAATTTTAAGTATAATCATTATATTAAATCAGCTCAAGTTTAGTAGGTTAGCCTTTGAATTGTCTTTAGCAGACTGCTAAGGAGAAGGTGCCCAAGAGGTCATTGTGACACCGTCAGTCTGAGAGAATGAATCAGGCCCTGTGGATTTTGTTAGGAATGGGATTTGAGCTTTAAGGAAGTGTTCTTTCTTTCAAGCATCCTTTCTCCCCCTGCCAGAAGTAGTCATACGATTGCCCAAGACCCAGATCAGGCATAGGGAGATGGAAGGAAATATTCTCAACATTTCAACAGTGGCAGGTTTTATTGATGTTGAAGTCATGGACAGGTGTTATTTTAGTCAAGAGCTTTTTTTTTTTTTTTTTTTTTTTTTTTTTTTTTTTTTCCCTAAAGGCTAGACTTTCTATACAGATTTCTGGGTCCATAGTTAGGTCTGTGCATTGTAAACGGCCATTTTAAACAGACGCTGTATTAAAAGAAGATTATATGTAGAATTTCAGGACATCATAGAATTTTAGATCTGAACAACCAGGAAAATGCCAGGAAATTTGTTACCTAGGGTTTTTGCGTATTTATTCATTCTTCACATCCTTTACACATTCAGGGATTATATCTTTTTTTTTTTTTTTTTTCCCAGCTATTTTGCATGTTCACTTAGTTGCTAAAGTCTGAAGCCCTCTGAGGAGAGCGATGTTGCTAGTCTCCAAAATATTTACGTTTGAGGTCTATCTTTTCCATGATCACATTCTAAAACACTTTTCACGTAAAATACCTCTCACTATCCCGTATGCAGGGCCATGGAGAATTAAGGCAAAATCATTCTCTGCCGCCACTGACCTTCATTCTTTGGGGTAGGTTGATTTAATATTGTGTTTTTCTAAACAAGGGAAAACAGTTACACCTTCTACCTCTTAGGAGCTTCCTCTCATATGAGTTGTAAGTTCAGTATGTGCACATATGTGAGATTTCAAGCGCAAAAGGAGAATAGAGTAGGAAACAGATTTTCACAGTCCCCGTCTGGGCCCTTGCGTCAGTGCCAACGTAAAGCTATTCACTGATCCGTGAGTAGTATCATGTTGCCTGGCTCTCAGGAAGCGGATTGGAAAATCCAAGCTTAATAAGCAGATCAATGGGGTGGGGGAGTTGAGATGATTGTATCACATTCCAGTGACATGCAGTATTGTCAAAAACGTTGTCTCCAGACACAAAATTACAGGAGGCATATAGATACCTTTCAAAATGTCAGCAAAGGGGGTTGGAGGGGGAATTTAGTTAAGAATAGTGGAAATTTACCATTTCTTCCAGGAAGCATACACTGAGAGCATCTGGGTATCTCAGGATAAAGGGTGAATTGAATGTGCGTTGGGGAGGAGAGCTACCAGGAATCCAAGGAGGTACATGAATTAACTGAATGTCTGCAGAGAAGGGAACTTCTGGGTGGAGATGTGAGCTCCCGGGGCCCGGAGGGAAGTCCAACTGCTGACTCCTCGGTTTTTAAGAACTTACAGTAGCTGTGTTTGCACTCCCCTGCAGAGCCAGGGGAAATATGTGGGGTCAGTCTTAAGGGAATCATTCATCACCATTTCTCCTCCTGTCACACTTATTCAACTTAAATATAAGGACTAGTTTGGGTTGAAGTTCAGATTTTCCACATTCCTGGGGTTTATCTGCTCTCAAATTTCTTGCCACCAACTTATTGATGTCTGAAGTTTCTTTAACACGAGACAAAAACAATCCATTGTTAGATACACAACTATAACTCTCTAAAGAATATTTATATATATATATATATATATATAAAGACTATTTTCTTTATTTTTAAAGACTATTTATATAAATCTATGAGACTGTAAATCTAAGGCTATAAATTAACCTGTTTATTTAACTCACAGAATGGAATTTGGCTAAACTTAATACTTACTGGATACCTGTTCTGTGCTTGGCACTAATGAGGGGGAAAAAAAAGAAAAAAAGATGAATGAGAAAGGCTTTCTTCCTTGCCGTGAGTGGGATGAAGAGGTGGGAAATTGTCTGGTGACTACAGTGGGAAGTGAGCTCTGGGAGAAGAGCGACCACCCTGTGTCTCTTCACCAGTGTGTTCTCTGCATTTATGTCAGTCCCTGACTCATAATCAAGGCTTATTATTTCTTTAAGTTGATGGATACATGGCTGAACATAATATCATAAGGGCTACTAAAAATGTATATACAAGATGTGATATTGACTCAGAATAAGGGATGAACAACTTTGCCTTGGAGGGACTCAGATATGGTGAGACTTCAAGGGGATATTTGAACCAGGTCACAAGGGATGAAGAGGAGTTTTCCAGAGCTTCCAGAATAGAATTTCAGCCAGAAGAATTAGCGTGGACAAACGTAAGAAGGTGTTAAATGGCATGAATGTTGAGGGAGTTGCAAAAATGTAACAATCCTAAGTAGTAAGTATAATGGGAGTGGAAGAATTATGGCAGGTGAGGATCATCGCAGGAAGGGCCGTCCTTCATAAGTAAGTGCCATGCTGATTTGGGGCAGGGGCTATTGGGTAGCAGGGTAGATGGGCATGGGAGATAAGGACCAAAGAAGCTTCTTTCCTCCTCACACTTTGAACGGACGATCTTGTTTACCTTAAAAGTCTCAGGATTTGGAAATTAATTGAGGCATTTCTTAGTATAGAAGCAACAGAGCTTGATCAAGTATACCAATGCTGTTCCAGTGAGACTTTATATTTTGATAAGGTATTAAAAGAGAGATTTTGTGTGTTCAAAGCTTAGAGTTTTGTTACTGGATGATTGTGTAATAGATACACTGCTTTATGAAGTAATCTGTCAGTTAACAAATGGGTTTTCTGCCTGGTCCCTTTCAATAGTGACTTCTGTGTAGGATTTAAGAGAGTTAATATACACATGGCTTTCCAGAGACTTGTCCAGTGTGTAAATCAAGGCATACCTGGTGGGGTGTGAGGCTTGCTACCTTACAAACAGGGCTTGGATTTCTTGTACTGCCCATAGGGTGTTTCACCGTTAGGTACATAAATCTCCCAGAAGGATTGGATAGGATGGGTACTCTCTTTAATTTAGAGAGAAGATCTATAATGGAATTCTCAGTGTCTTTGGTCTGTTTGCATGCGTCTAACTTGGTGGAACATATTCCAATTTTAAATGAGCCCTACATTAATAGAAGTTGGTTTCTTAGACTTAACTTTAAATGTGTCTGCTATTTTAATAGCAACTTTAGAGTCAAACTGAGTTGAAATTGATACAAATGCTACCAGTCTTTCTTCCCACGGAATTCAGCTCCCGCTGCTGTTGTTTTCCTTTCTTCCTCTACTTTCATTTTTTAATTTTGGGATGAAATAGCCCCTTATTCTGCATGTTGAAGTTTAATGTATGTTCTCTACTGATAGAGGACTTAATGGAGAGGGAAAGGCTCTTGGCTGATTGTATTAGTTCAGCAGTTTTAGAATAAGATGTTTGTGGGGAGGGGTGGCAGAATCTTCAGTCATTGATTCTCTCTTTATAACTTTGCCCTTTTAGCTGGAACAGATTACCTGTGCAGGGCTTCTGGCCCTGCACAGGCGGAATCACAAGGAAGAAACTTTACATAAACCATTTATACTAAATGTTTGGTATGCTGGCAACATAAATCAACAACAATATCCATTACAAATTCATCCCTTTATCAGTATTATCTTGATAGAACTGATCCCAGTGTGTGGGAATTTGAACCCTGATTCAATACATCTAGCCCTGAGTAATTAATTATTCAGGGCACAGAGAACCTGGCCCCTGCAATGTAGAGTAATTCTTCCTGGTCAGCGTGAACTCCACTGGCAATAATAAATAGAAAACGTCTCTAGTGATGCCAGTATTTTAAAGTGATTAATCATCTTCCCCACCCCCCCCCACCTCCCTCTTAGTTTTCTTTAACTAGGATTTTTCAGCAATAAATCTTTAACAATACAGGTAGGAATTGTTCTGTAATTAAATTTTGCCCTGCTTAATTTCTTACCTTTTATGTGTGATTAAAAAAAAAAATGTTACATTTTAAGGAGCTCTGATCAAGAGTCAAACCAAGAAAAATCCTTTTATGGAATGCATTGAGATGCTCTATGGGGGATTAAGCTCTTGATTTTGAATATTAGATAGAGCACATACTCATAAAAATTGTTAATCAACACCAGTTGGGGTGTCAAATATTCTGAGGTTTTGAATTGCTTCACTTTCGTGCATACGGGTTGTCTGTATTAGGAAAAGTCTGACATGTACATATGTTCCCGAGCTGCGAGAATAATTACTTACTTCTTAACTTTCAGCTAATTGATGTGAGCTCCGTACGAAAGGGGTATTTTTTGCCCTTTCGGCGGTATACAAAAGTGCACTTGGTGAAATGGCAGGTAAATGCCTGGCCGAGAACGACCATGTATTTTTAAATCATGCCCTATAGAGCTGACCAGCCATCATGTAGATTCTGGGTGACAGGGACAGATGTGACATATCTGTTGTGACACACTTCTGTTCCACCAGTCTGTGGCTCGAGGTGACTCCTGTCCCTCCTCTGATGCTTTCCCCTGCTGCAGGACAACACAACGATGCACGGATGAACCTTGCCATTGCCCTCACTGCTGCCAGGTACGGGGCTGCCACAGCCAATTACATGGAGGTCGTGAGCTTGCTCAAGAAGACAGACCCCCACACGGGGAAAGAGCGAGTGAGCGGTGCACGGTGTAAGGACGTGCTCACAGGTACGCCGAGGCCCTAGCGGGAAGGTCTTTCTTAGCATCTTGCCTCGCCGATGTAATGGCTGAATCATAATTTTTCTGTCACTTCTCTTTTATTTAAGCCAGATTTCAGAGTCATATTAATTACATTCCTTACTGTCAACAATGACTGGTTTAACATGAAAATTTTCCCTTGTGGTACTTGGCAATTTTTCCCCTTTGTGCTAAATAACAATAATGATAATGATAATAATAAATGCCCACAAAATTCCCACAGCTAGGAAGGTATTCCGTTTTCTGGACAAAAACATGTTATTAATAAAATTAAATAAGCGTGCCAAGTTTCAAAGTAAGTGACACAGGCAGTGCATTTATACATCGTTAGAGTCAATCACTTTACCTTTGGTTGGATTTTCCATTCTTGTCCTGGTTCTGTGGCCACGTAGGCAGAGCTTCACAATCACCTCGTTTCCTTGAACAAAACCAACACTGAGACCTATGTTGTCTCACGGCAGCGCTGTTGAAACATTTGAGTTTTAGGGAGAAAGCGGATTATTTACTCACCCGGCTTTCTTCACGTTTGGCGCTCAGATGCCGGGCACTTCGCAAAATAGACTGAGAACCGAGATGACGAAGCGGCACGTTCTTTCTTCGATTTGGACTTGTGTTGGGTAGACCGACTCGGATGCAAGCCCTTTGTGTGGCTTTTCAGTAACTCTGGCTGCTCGTGTCCCTTCGTGTGGTGCACAGTGTACTTCGCCATAGGTTAAGTTTATAGGTAAATTAATAACCCAAAGCATCGGTGAGCAGGGAAACAAATGGGGTGTGTGATTGATGCTGCTTTCTTTCACAGGGCAGGAATTTGATGTGAGAGCCAAATGCGTTATCAATGCTACGGGACCTTTCACAGACACCGTGCGCAAAATGGATGATAAGAACGCCGCAGCTATCTGCCAGCCGAGCGCTGGTGTCCACATTGTGATGCCTGGTTATTACAGGTAACTGTGTGCCAACTCGGCACCCTTGCAAGGGGGACAGGAAATCGGCTGCATTTATTCTTTCAGCACACATTTTTTTTTTTTTTAAAGCTTCTTCATTTATTTTTGAGAGAGAGAGAATGAGAGTGAGAGAGCGAGAGCACGAGCTGGGAAGGGGCAGAGAGAGAGAGGGAGACACAGAATCCGAAGCAGGCTCCAGGCTCCAAGCTGCCAGCACAGAGCCCGATGCGGGGCTCGAACCCACAAACCGTGAGATCGTGACCTGAGCTGAATTCCAAAGCTTAACCAACAGAGCCACCCAGGTGCCCCTCAGCCCACTTTTCTTACTGGATGGTCTAGCTTCCTGTTCAAAATGAGGAGAAATAAGCAAAGGAACTCTTCCAAAACACAAAATACAATCCAGACTTGGGAATTTCTTAGCTTTTACGTCAATACTCACTTCTAGGGGTTAATGATTTGGGATCTATTGTACTTTCTTCAGTGTACTCACCTTCAGAAAATACGCCTTAGTATTTTTGAATGTTAATTAAAATATTAAGGGTAAATTTTGTAAAAAAAAAAAAAAAATTCCATGACGGGCATATTTTAATTAAAACACTAAAAAAATAATTTTATAAATACTCAAATTGGCTTATGGAGAATCTGAACATGAGGACCTCTCGTGTACTCTTATGTTCATGACTTTTGAAATGCGTTGTGAAAACTGTCACAGCAAGTCAAATTGGATGTGATTTCTGATCTCTCATAATTGTCAGTGGAGAGATGGGTAGGGAGAGAGATGAAACAAAGATACCTATTCACTGAAATTCATTGAACTTGACTGATGGGCACATTGCACTATTCTATTATATTTTTGAAATTTTTAACAAATTAAAAAAGAAACATTTAGAGGGTTTTAGTTAAGAAATTAATTATAATTGGATCTCATGGACATTTCAAGACTTCTGTGGAAAAAAATCAGGTAACCATGACGAGAGTGTGGAACATGTGTACCATTTTTATCTCCATATGTGGTAAATCCAGTAGGCAAACTAGTAATTTTGTATGGAGTAATGATCTATGCTCCTGGTATTCACTATGATATTATCTATAGTTGAGAAATATTAGAAACTCCTTAAGTGCTAACCTTAATAGAGTGGATAAGTTAATTGTGGCATATCTGCACAAGGCAATATTATATAGTCATTAAAAATTGTAATTATAAATAACTTTAATGTTTTAGGAAAACATTAACAATACTCTGTTAGTTTAGAATGAAGGATGTAAGATTAAATGTGTAATGTGATCTCAACACTGCGTAAATATAGAAAAAAGACTACAAGGAAATACATCAAATACTAACGGTGATTATCTCTAGGTAATACGATTATGGGTAACAGTTAAAGGTGGTAATTTCTAGGTAACGTGGTTAGGATGAGAGTTATCTCTTCCATGTTTTAATACATTTCTGTAAAGTTATATCAGTCTTTTAATATTTGATTAAATGAATGAACAGAATCTGTATTTTGTTTAATATCTACATTCTCCTGGGATGCTATCCTGCTATGTTATGTGATGCTGCTGTTTCATCAGTTTTTCAATAACCAAATCTTCCCAAAAAGACTCCAGGATACACCTAATTTGTACCAAATTCACTTCCCCCAAGAAAAATATTACACTTCTATTAAAAAAAAATGAAAGTCCATTTTTTATCCACCAACTTCCAAGATTTCTGTCTCATTTTTAAATGTCTATGTGTGATAAGTAGACCATCATTAGTATTTTAATTGAGGACTAAAGAAACCAAGGTGTTTCAGTCTTGGTAATAAAACTTTATGTAGCAGTACTTAATAGAGTTTTAAAATCTGGAACCGGAGTTTTGTTAAATGAAAAGGAGAGAAGTAAATACATGTAAATATTCAAATGTTTCTTGTATATAGAGAAGTTTTCAACAATAGTTTCATTCATAATCATACGCATCTATTTTGTATTAGATTAAAAATATGCGAAGACAGCTAGTTTATAAGGGTTTGTTTGGAGGGGTTTTTTTCTTTAATATCTTTTAGGCTATGGATATAAGACCTATGCTACAGACACACACATTTGCATATTTGTTTAGATCTTAGTAGATTCAATATATCCTCATGTGTTATTATGTTTCATGTTTTCTTCACTATTGTCCTGTGATGTCAGAGGATTCATTATTCCCTAATTTAATTCTGCCACTTAATACATATCATTTGGGGCAGGCCATTTGAATTTTGTCAACCTTAGTTTGCCCATCATTAAAATGGGGAGACAGGGGGGTAAATTAAGGTGATACCTTGATGTAGTACTTGATGTTCACCACTTTACTCTTACAGACTGTTTGGCCTTGGCAAGCTACTTCTTTCAGCTTCTGGTTCCTTATCTCAAGGTAGTCCCTGATTTGTATACATTTTGACAATGATCCTGCGATCCTTTGTATCTATTTTGTTGACTGCTCTTCATGCAGTGTCTAATAGTGACCAGTAAATGTTTCCTGAATGAATCCTACTAACTTTTTTGTGTTAACTTGACCAAATAGAGATTGTTGCTTTTTTTAAAGTTAAAATTCAGTGTAACACCTATAAGGGATATTTTTGATATAGAAAAGTGAAACTATGAAAACAAAACATGATTCTTCATTTTATTGCTCTGATAACCCATGTATATAAAAATAAATGCGTTCAAGTAATTGCTGTAGAAAATAGAAGGACACAAAAGGAAAAGTGAGAGCCTCTCTCTTCTTCCTCATGCCCCCCTGCCTTATTCCCCATTTCAGTTGTTCTCTGGTAATCAGTAACACTTCCTAGGATTCCTTCTGTAAAACCGTGTGTTCGTACTTGCACAAACGTCTATCCTTTTAAACATTTTACATGAAAGAGGTAATGCTACACCATATAGTTCTGTACTAAACTTTATAATACGCTAATAGCAGATAGGTGCTTTTAAAGAAATATAAATATATGTCACCTGGATGTAATATTTTCAAAACAGGATGCCTTTCTTAATCCCCAGAATTTGTCGTTAGCTTCAGGGCACCTCCCCATAAAGCGTGAAAGTGTGAGTTACAGCTGGGCCTGCTTCAGATGCAGTAAGTGATCTCATGCCACTTTGGGAGGAATTAATGTCCCCATTTTTAGCACCTTGAACTATAACCGCTATACCTCCTGTCAGAAACCTTCCGGGAGTGGTTTGCAGCCCAATTCCTGCTCAGGGTCTGCCGCAGATGAGCTCCTTAGTTTTGGATACTGGCCTGGATTAAGGGTTTATTCCCTTCTAGCCCTGACCTTCAGGCATCCCAGAGGGCTGGTTTTGCTCTCCATATCAATTCACTTTCTTGGGTGGGGCTGGGAGATGTCAGACTGAAATGGCTGCCTGGGCTCATCAGTCAGTCACACTCAGTTATAGCTCGAGGGTTCCACTTGGCCCTCAGGGATGAGTCAGACCTCCTGGGGCTGCCCCATACACTGGGTGGTGGCACCTTAAGGTCTAACATTTCCACTAGAACCTGATCAGTTTAGATATGTAGTGAGTCCTGTAGCCACTGATTTGTTGAATGTAGGCTGCTAAATGTAAGGCAAGGACCATGTGTATGTTGTGTTGGGCTGTTTTGGGAGTATCTTTATGGCATTTGTTAACCTTGTTATGGCCCTCAAAGACATGTGCCATGGTAGCAGACTTTTTTGTTTGCATTATTTCAGTTTCCAAAAACCCAGAACACAGAAATCATTTAATTTTAAAGGTGCTGTTTAGTTTACATGAAGAACAAACCTGAAATTTCCATCAGAGTTGCGGTGAGATGCTCTTTTTAAAGCAGCCACAATGCACGATGACTTTACACACATGAAAATAATCATCTCCTCCTTCTACCTGTAGGTGTTTTTTTACCCCTGACAAGAAGTCAGGTTTCTGGGGGGTGTTGTTGTGGTGGGGGTGGTTGTTGTTGTTTCTGTATTGCTGTGTGCGTACTGTTAGCTCTAACACTGGTTGCTAAGTAGTTAACAATAAATTGATTTCAGTTGAAATAAGGGTACTTGAGGAAGGAAGGATGGTCCCGTATAGACCATCACCACAGGTGCTCTCCATTTTCAAACTTTAGTGTGACCTTGCAGAATTAATCCTTCATAAGAAAACAAACGTTTCCCTAAGGGAGAGTATGAATTAGGTAATTTAGAACTGATGAAAGGTATTTCCAAGTGGATTCTTAAATTTTTATACCATTCATTACTAGCTTTGTCTTCCCTCTGTGCTTGTTAATTTTATGTTTGACACATATGTCTTCACTTAAGCAGTTGATTCTCTACAGGATCCAGTTATGCGTGTGTTGGTAACCATCACCTTCACCCTTTAAACTGCTTTTATTGCATTGGAAGGTTTTAAAGGATTCAGTAGTTGTGCTTTCCTAATAGCATTTCATGTCTAGGTTGTTGAATATAATAATTTTATGCAAAATTTTGTCGGGTTTATTGAGTTACTTAAGTACCTCATATGATATCTGCTCTATAAAATGATCATGCATAAAATATACCAACATATAATTTGTTCCTTAAATGTTAGGAGATGCAGTTTATTCTTTTGTTTCAACATGGTACTATTTATCAGATTGAAAGCTTGAACTCTGAATGAGTTAATTCCCAGCCCCAAAGTGACTGATTTAATGTAAGGGCATATTAACCCAGGATCAAATCAGTTGCTTACAAACTACGTAATTAACTAGTGTCTTTTAAGATTTTTTTTAAAGAGAGTCTTAGGAGAAACACAAAGAAAAAAATATAAAATATTCGATACTTACAGTTTTCAATATATAAAAATGAAAGTAAAATTACTTCCTTCAACCCTGAATGAAGATGAAATCTTAGCTGAAGGTTTAAATGATTGACCCACTTCTGTGATGCATTTTGCGTATGTTAAGTAGGACTGTGGCCCACTCTCTCCGTGTCTCTCAAGGATCCTGTAGACAGTGGTTCTTTCTACAAAGGCTCTGTAGAAATGGCAGCACTTCCGGTACTCAGTCACGGCTCAGTCAGTTAAGCATCTGACTTCAGCTTAGGTCACGACCCCACGGTTGGTGAGTTCGAGCCCCATGTCGGGCCTGTGCTGACAGCTCAGAGCCTGGAGCCTGCTTTGGATTCTGTGTCTCCCCCTCTCTCTGCCCCTCCCCTGCGTGCTTGCTCTCTCTCCCTCACAAATAATAAACATTAAAAAAAAAAAAAAAAGAAATGGCAGCATTTCATGGGACTCATGGGTCTTTGCAACAAAAGCCTTACACTCTTTGTGGTTTACATAAAGAAGATGCATATGCTAAGCTGACTATAGATTTCTTTTTTTTTTTTTCAAGTAATTTTGCAGCTCTTTTTTTTTTTTTTTGAACAAGTTGTATGCCCAACATGAGGTTTAACTAAAGACCCCAAGATCAAGAGTCACGTGCTCTACCCACTGAGCCAGCCAGGTATCCCTAGATTTCTTTTTCATGAAATAAATTATTGTTGTTTACTTTTAAGCACTTGTTAGGCCCTCACCCTTATACAATTGAATCAATATGAGGTTTTTTTTTTTTAAGTTTTTTCAGAGGAATGATAAACATAAAAAGTTTACGCTTTTTTAAAATTTACGGGTATAGGAGGGACTTCTTGAAATTTATTTAAACCAAATGGAATTGTGTTTTCTATTTAAGAAATTTCATTAATAGAAGCTGAAAATGTCTTTAACATTGGCTTGCTATGAGAATTCAGTCAGACTGAAACAGCTCTCTGAAGATTGGTAGGGCCTAACTGTTTGAACATGACACTTTAAGATCATCCCGCCCCTTTTTCAACTTCTCCAAATTTCTTTGAATGGTTCATGAATGTATGAAAACAATAGTTTCTGATTTAATGAGACAACTGGACAAGTTTTGTTAATATTTCTAGTTGCTTATTATTTCTGGTGTGTTTTATAATTTGGTTTTAAAATATTAAGTATGTGTTAGTGAAAATTATTGACTCATATTTGGGAAGATTTTATGTAATCTGTCAAAAGAGGCATCTTCGAACCTTGATTTAATAGCATAATACATTAGCCTCCTATGTCTGTTTAAAGATTGTCGTTGCTAAGATATTCCTCTCCCTTTTTTGACCTTGCCCTCATTCACTGTTATTTATGTAATAGTAGAAAACCCAGCCCTTTTGTCATTGATGCACTTCTTGAGATTTCTATAAAATTGAAGTAAAGTAAGAAATTTCACATTTGGTGAAGTGGTGTAAGTTCATCTAGGTACAAAGAAGTAAAGAACTTTTCTGATCACATTTTAGTTGCTAGAAACTTAGAGCCTTCACTTTTCTCACGTACTTCTGAGACCTTCCACTGAAAGATGTGTCAAATGTCAAATGTCCAAGGAAGATACTTTTCATTGACTTGAAAAAAGGTTGAAGAGCAATCCTTAATTCACCATCACAAAAAGAATTATAGACACTTATCCCCGCTGACATTATCTGATGTGAATGGTCCAAAGAATATAAAAACCCAAACAATTGGAAAGTGAAGTCCACTTTCTTAATTAACCTTGCGTAATGTTGAGATGGGGAGGGCTGGTTGCGCTGTGAGTTTTATTATCACACGTGCTCCCTTTTTTTCTGTTACCAATATTATTTTTTTTTTCTTTTAGGAATTTCTAGGCTAGAGTATCGGCAGTTAAAGTAATAGTTCATGTGTTTCTTGTTTGCTTCTATGAGAATTAGTGAATAAAGTAGTTTTTTAGACTGCAGATTAAGGATTAAACTTCTGCTAATTTCAGAAATCTGTAACCCTTCTTTTTACATCAGCCCAGAGAGCATGGGACTGCTTGACCCAGCAACCAGCGATGGGCGAGTAATTTTCTTCTTACCCTGGCAAAAGATGACAATAGCCGGCACTACCGACACTCCAACGGATATTACACACCATCCCATCCCTTCGGAAGAAGATATCAATTTCATTTTGAACGAAGTGCGTAACTACCTGAGTTGTGATGTTGAAGGTAACTTATGCATTCCTTTGAGTTTGTTTTCCTTCTTTTCTATCTCCCAGCCCATCCCAGCTCTTACTGGTAACTGCCACATCTAAGGTCTGAGTCCTCTTCACACCTGACTCTTCTGTACTGACCACTTCTTCTGGAAGGTTTATGGGGACCAAATTATACCACAATGCAAAGCAGCTGCTTGGTCCCCCCCCTGCTTTCTACATCCACACGAACCTCACGCAGTCATTTTCTGACCATCTCTAATGGCTGTACACAAGCCATACGTGAGCTCTAAACACTCGTGCTCTCTGAGAAGAGCATGAAATGTTTGCATTGCAATTTAATTTCTAGAGTTCAGGAAGATCTGATTTACAGATACAGGATATCCTTAGGAAATAATTAGTCAAAAAATGAGAGGATAGAGCTATATAATCTGAGAGCTTCGTGAGCTTTTCTATATGAAAAGTAGTGTTGACAGTGGATTTAACTAAGTAGGAGAGGTATGCTTTTTTATTTTTTTTAATTTATTTTTTACTTTTTTTAAATGTGTATTTATTTTTGAGAGAGAGAGAGACAGATGTGAGCAGGGGAGGGGCAGAGAGAGAGAGGGAGACACAAGAATCCAAAGCAGGCTCCAGGCTCTGAGCTGTCAGCACAGAGCCCGATGCAGGGCTCGAACTCACAGACCGTGGGATCACGACCTGAGGAGAATTTGGAAGATTAACTGACTGAGCCACCCAGGTGCCCCAGTATGCTTTTTTTTTAATTGAAAGAGCCAAAGTTAACTTCTTTTTCATGCTAACCAGGGCATACTTACTTTTAGTTTGGATGTTAATAGTATTTTCTCCACTGCATATATATAATGAATATGTTTTATCCCACCTAGTTCCTGAAGTTTCCTAACATTGTCCTTCTCTATTTCCTATCTCAGTTAACAGCCTTATCATCCAGTCACCCAAGCCAGAAATAGCATGCTGGCCTTTTTTTTTTTTTTTTTAATAGTCTTAATTTATTTTAAATGCTTATTTATTTTGAGAGAGAGCAAGGGAGAGGCAGAGAGAGAGGAGAGAGAGAATCCCAAGCAGGCTCCACCCTGTCAGCACAGATCCCAATGCAGGGCCTCAACTCACCAACCGTGAGATCATGACCTTAGCCAAAATCAAGAGTTGGACACTTAACGGACTGAGCCACCCAGGCGCCCCTCTCATCTTCGGGGATCCTTCTCTTTGCACATTCAGTCCAGTTCCTATCTGTGCTCACTCTGCAGTACCCTGTAAATCCCCTCTCACTTCATTGTCCTGGTCACGCCTATGTCACTTCTCAAGCAGCTGCACTGGCCTTCTAACTGGCTTCCCAAGGTCAGGTCCCCGTTCCCACCCTGTCTCACCCTTCCATCAGCACCCTCTTTCTGAAACACCATTCTCACCATCACTTCCCTGCTCAAAAACATCCCTTGGATGTTCCTCATTGACTTTCAGAGAAATTCTAAGCTATCTGGCTTGGCTCTAAACTATCTCTAAGGCTCTCCACAACTTGTCTTTGCAGGTTTATATTCAGTACTCCACCTTTGTGCCTTCTGTGGTCTTATCACCTCCAAATCAGTTCGTGCACTTTTCAACCTCATGCTTTGTTTAGGATGAAACCTTGCTCTGGGATGCCCTTTCCCCCACCTTCTCATTTTGACAAAATACTATTTCCACTTTGGAAACCACCAAACTTTTGTAGAACGGTGGTCTAGTATATCACAATGTTATATATAGGCAGGAGTCTAAGGTGTATTCTCACTTGCAGTTCCTTGAGGGTAAGGATTCTTTATTCAGCCACAAAGCTTGTTGTCTATATGGTATGCCCCTCAATACGGGGTTGAAATGAAATAAATTAGTAATAGGTGTTTTCAGGGTTTTTGACGCTGGTAGCAGTTTGAAAATCTTTTTATATTAAGGTAGAAATTTTTAGATTTTGAAAAATATATAGTCTTCATCTTTTTGTGTCAGGAATCTTCTATAATGTTGGCTTCAGTGGAGGACATACAAAGCCACAATTTTCTTCTTGATGTGACTCACTAAAGTCCATGAATCCTTTTTTCCCCAAGGGATTTTTTTTTTTTAATTTTTTTTTCAACATTTTTTATTTATTTTTGGGACAGAGAGAGACAGAGCATGAACGGGGGAGGGGCAGAGAGAGAGAGGGAGACACAGAATCGGAAACAGGCTCCAGGCTCCGAGCCATCAGCCCAGAGCCGGATGCGGGGCTCGAACTCACGGACCGCGAGATCGTGACCTGGCTGAAGTCGGACGCTTAACCGACTGCGCCACCCAGGCGCCCCTCCCCAAGGGATTTTTTATCATCATGTGATCACACATTTATAAACAAGCAAACTTCCTTAAAAAAAAAAAAAAATTGTTCAGGGTACTCTCCTGGTTTAATTGAATGATCCATATTGTATAGAGGTAGTTTCTTCTGATTTCAAGTAATGGATACATTTTAATTTTGAGTGACGTCTCTTTGGGATCTACAATAATGGTACAGGTATATTACACACTCATAACTGAAATTTGTGTGACTAATGTCTGTATTCTCACACACTCATATACATGCACACAGTTATTTGGGAAATGGTCATGCCTTATTTAATATCCATATTTAAGTATTCAAAATGCAATGTAATTTTAGCTAGATACTTTCTGTTGAAATCTAGGAGGACTTTCATCTGGATATGATTGTATTTTTTTTTTTTAATGTTTATTCATTTTTGAAAGACAGAGACAGAGCATGAGCGGGGTAGGAGCAGAGAGAGAGGGAAACGCAGAATCTGAGGCAGGCTCCAGGCTCTGAACTGTCAGCACAGAGCCCAAGGCGGGGCTCTAATTCACAAACCGTAAGATCTTGACCTGAGCCGAAGTCAAGACGCTTAACCGACTGAGCCATCCAGGTGCCTCTGTATATGATTATATTTTAATGTATAAATGATTATTGTTAACGAATCCTGCTACATTTTGCATTCACCTGAGTACCATATTAGCTAAAAGTGGATTGATATTGGGCCCTAAGAGCAGGAAGTTTGGGTTGTTGGAGCAAGAAATAAAATTAATTCAAGAGCAGAGAGCTCTTTGTTGACAGTTTCCAGCTTCTTAAAGTTCAAATGCAGTAAGATGAGAAATCTAACTGCTTATATGTGCTGTGAGGCTGGATATACTGGAAACAGGTGCAGGTTCCAAAAGGCCGCTGTGCCCGTTTTGTAGGTGGGGATTTCCACCAGTGAAATGAGCCTTTGGGCTGTAGCAGAGACTGAATCGTGTACCCCCTCCACCCCCCACTTTCTTCTGTGAATGGACAGAGGACTTAGCAATACCTGCCGGGGCTTGGTTGGTCTGTAACTTCTTGTCACTTAGCATGCCTTTTGTTAGTCAGGTTACTTGGTAAAAGTAACAAAGAGGGTTTTTTTTGCCAGTTGTGATTTTTGGTAAAAGTGGCTGAAATTAATATCTAAACAGTGTACATCCGGCCTTTTCTTCTAACAGCCTGGGGACTCTTGAGATTAAAAATTCTCTAAGCAGCAAATACCTGGTGTGAAAGCAAAGGTGACAGCCGTTTCACATACTTCATTTATTCCCCTGTGCACACCATCTATCACACCTTTCCGACTTACCAACTTATTCTTTTTAATACAATTAATTCATAATGATTCCTTATAGTTTGTTTTCATCTTTGTTTCTAGTTGACCGAAGGTCTCATATGTGAGGCGTTACCCTCAGTCTGGATAGAACGCAGTTTGCTAATGTATGTCTATGTCTTGAAGTGGAGACGTTCAAGTTTGTCATTTTTTCCAAGGAATTCTGGTGCGATTCGATGTCTCTTCCATCCTGATGAAATGGAAGAGAGAAACTCAGCTTCAGACACTACCCAGTTATTTGGCCACAGGCTGGTGCTGTGCACGTATTTTGATCTCTCCGTTTGTCTGTAATGGGTAATACATGCTTTATTTTTTAAAACCCTACAATTCCTGAGCACTTTTCTACATGCAAGACACTCTACTGAGCACGTCGCCCTCATTTTTTCTTTGGTTCCTCATGACAACCTTACGAGATGTACCCTGCAGTTCCTGTTTTACAGACGCAGAAACCGAGGCCCCATGACTTGAGGCTTCCTAGCCCCCAGTTTGTTCGTGTTGGAGCCACGATGAGGCCAAGTCAGTCCAGCTGTAATACTTGCACTGCTAAGTACCGCACGGTACTCTCGATGGTAGTCCTGGGTTTTATGATGTGGTATTATATCCACCAGGGAGTGGATTAAGTCTCTCAATTCATTTCCTGGAAGCTGCTAGACACTTGCAGGATGATAATGACCTTTGCTCTAGACTGGCCTTATTTGGATCTGAATGTTAAGCTAGAAGAGGTGTCGTATCTCATAACTAATCCCTTGGGCCAAGCGGTCTTCTCTACAGACCTAAAAAATAAAAAGTTTGTTTAGATCCTAGAGCCCTAGTTGTGAAATGTTTTGCAGTCACCAGGGTTGACATAATCAGCTTAAAAGGATTTATTAAATGGATGAATAAGTAAAATTCTGACAACGGTTTCCGAGCCTCCCCAAATGGCTATATCCTTAAGGAAGGGGGAAAAAAAAAGTGTCAAATCTTAACACTCCGTGCTGTTCTCAGCAGCTGCCACATTTCTGCAAAACGCGTCGCAACAATTCTGAAAAGCATTTTGCCTGTTGGGAATAAGACCATGTCTTCTTTTACGATTTCGAAAGCTTTCCATTCACAGGCTGAATTTTCTCGATGACTGGTTTGTTCTTTTCTGAAATGGGGCATTGACAGTTGTGCGGTGCCTAGCGGGGTTAGGAAGAAAAACGATCTTTTGAAAAATGTATCATTAAGTCTGCCGTGTAGAGGTTAATCAGAAGGATGCAGTGGGGGAACCAAGCTCTGACTCAAAGGGATCGAGCGAGACAGAAGATTTGCCGAGCGCTTTATTCACGTAGTCTTTCTGGAGTGCTCCTTCAGGCAGCGTCTTTAG